TGACTGACTACACCCATCCCACCCAGTGGTGGGATTCAATTTTTTTTTACTACCGGTTCTGTGGGCGTGGCTTGGTGGGTATGGCAAGGGAAAGATACTGTAATATCTCCAGTCAGAGGTGGGATTTGCTGGTCCTCCTAACTACTCAAAATTTCCACTACCAATTCTCCAGAACTGGTCAGAACCTGCTGAATACCACCTCTGACCCCACCTCTCCCCACCCAGGAGTTCCCACATGGCCCGTTTTGGATGCAGGTAAGTGCAGGATGTGCATGGAAGCTCAGGGAGGGCGAAAAATGGGCCTCCTGGAAGTTTGGGAAGGCTGGAAATGGGCCTGTTTTCAGCTTCCAGAGAGCCTTCGGAGCCCGGGGAGGCCATTTTCAAAGAAACCCTCCGGAGCCCAGGGAGGACAAAATCACATATACCCTGCTGTTGTGGCTCCGATTCCCGAGCCTGTGCTGTTAGAGGAAGAGGACTCGGAAGATGAGGAGGAGGAACTGGGAATGCCTTCCTCCCCAGGACCTTCCTCTCTGGCAATGCCTTCCTCCCTGATAATGCCTCAGGTTTCATCAGACAACTGAGAGGAACAGCCTGAGATTAATCAGGAGGAAGGCATATTGGAGCAGCCCCTGACAGGGATTCAAGAAGAAAATTGTTGGCTTGATCCTAAGCAGCGTCGTAGGGAGAAACGTGAGCAGCAACGTAGGAGGCGTGGGAGGGTCAGAGAGTGAGCTGAATCATTGAGCCACACCCCACAGAGGATAAAAGTGGGTGTGTTGTCGGCTGGAACTTTGTAGTTTAATCTTGCTTCAGGTTTTCTTTGTGAATGATTTTATGATCTGCCTTGTAATTTTCTGGAAGTAGCTTTTTACTTGTTATCAGTTCGGACTTTGCAGGCAGAGCGCCAAGGACATTATCAGTTCCAAAGAATTAATTCTGTGAAGTCCGAGCCAGCTTGCCTGCCTGTGTTTGTGTGAGTTTGTACTCTTTCATTTTTTGGAAAGAAGAAAGGTGAGACAGAACACCCTGCTGTGGTGCAGAAGGCCACCAACCATGGCCACGCCCACCCAGCAACTGGGCAGAAAACTCTTTGCTGAAAATTTTGAAGCCCACCCCAAAGCGGTAGAGCTTGCAGCATGACACTGTTTTTAGCATTTTGACTGCAACAATGGGATAATGCAGATGCACCACTTACAATCATTCATTCAGCAACTGTTGTAAGTTAAAATGGCCTTATTAAAAAGGTAACTTAGATGGAACCTTGCACTTACTGCCATCACTTCATCCCCACATCCCATGATCAAAATCCAGCTGCTTGGCAACTGACATTGATTTACAACCATTGCAGTGTTTCAGGGTCACATGCTCACCATTTGTGATCTTCCCTGCTGCCTTCCACCAAACAATGGCTGGATTTGCTTAATGGCTGCATGATTCACTTAACAGCTACAGTCATTCGTTTAACAACCATGGCAAAAGGGATCATAAAATTTGAGACAATTCACTTAACAACTACCTTGTTTAGCAATGGAGATTCTGGTTCTAATTGTGGTTGTCAGTTGCCAACCAGCTATAGCTCTGTGTCTAACTTAAGATGAGTAATGGAAACAACGAGAAACTTTAAGAAGGAAGTTTACTTTATACTAAATAAAGATCATGCTGCAGTTTCAAGAACACCTGTTTGCTCATTTGAGGAAAACTTACAGGGAAGGAGAAGTTACTATAAGAATAAAGTTTGAAAAAACAGAATGGTTCAGGTATAGAAAGGGGTGAGGCAAGGATTATTCTGTCCTGCTTAACTTTTATTAAAATATTTAAGAAAATGAATGATAATAGCAGGATTGGAACAGGTAGTGGGTGGAATCAAAAGTGGAGAATGAAATCCAAAAATATAAATATATAAAATGTACCACCATCGATAATAGCAGAAGGGGGGTCAAGAGAAGCAAATTTTATCTAATAAAATGAAATTCAGTGTAGAGAAAAGTAAAGTCCTACACTTAGGCAAGAAAAACCAAAAGTACACATATAGACTGGGTGAAACCAGGCTCAATAGCAGTAACTGTGAGAGGGATCTTGGAGTCTAAGTGGACAACCAGCTAAATATGAGCCAGCAGTGTGCAGTAGCAGCCAAAAAAGCTAATGCAATCCTAAGTTCTATTAACAGAGGGATACAATCAAGATCAAGGGAAGTACTAATACCACTCTATAAAGCCTTAGTAAGACCACACCTAGAGTACTGCATCCAGTTTTGTTCACCACATTATAATAAAGATGTTGAGACTCTAGAAAAAGTACAGAGAAGAGCAACCAGGATGATTAGGGGACTGGAGGCTAAAACATACAATGAACGGTTGCAGGAACTGGGCTTGGCTAGTCTAGTGAAGAGAAGGACCAGGGGACACATGATAGCAGTCTTCCAATATTTGAGGGGCTGCCACAGGGAGGAAGGAGTCAAGCTATTTTCTAAAGCCCGTGTAGGCCAGACAAGGAATAATGGATGGAAACTGAACAAGGAGAGATTTAACCTGGAAATAAGGAGAAACTTTCTGACAGTGACAATCAACCAACGGAACACCTTGCCTTCGGAAGTTGTGGGAGAGCCATCACTTGAGACTTTCAAGAAGAGATTGGACTGCCATTTGTCAGAAATGGTGTAGGGCCTCCAGTTTGGGCGGGGGGTTGGACTAGATGACCTACAAGGTCCCTTCCAACTCTGATTATCTGTATTATCTGTATCTATAAATGTGCATCACAACATCACAATTCCATTCCACATACTTCTCAGCAACCTGGTTATGAAAATACTGTCCAAAAGGGTAGAACGTGCATCATAATGCCATAAAACCTGTTTTATCATTTTGACACTTTCATATTCATAAAATTGAAGATGCCTATGGATACCATCCTGTTGATTTAAAGTAAAGAATGATCTTGTTACTTTAAAGCAGGATTGTCAAACTCCCGGCCCGTAGGTCTGATGCGTCACGCTCTAGCCATGCCCATGCCTGGTTTAGTGAAGGGGGAAAAAGTCCGATATGTCACATAACACCACCGTAATGCCGTGAGTTTGATACTCCTGCTTTAAAGAAAAGAATGATGCTTTTAAAAAACAGAATAACACAATAACAGTGTTGGAAGGGATCTTGGAGGTCTCTGGACCCCCTACTCAAGCAGGAAACCCTATACAATTTCAGACAAATTGTTGTCCAATCTCTTCTTAAAAACCTCTAGTGTTGGAGCATCCACAATTTCTGGAGGCAAGTTGTTCCATTGGTTAATTGTTCTGTCAGAAAATTTCTTCTTAGTTCTAGGTCGGTTCTCTCATTGATTAGTTTCCATTCATTGCTTTTTGTCCTACCTTCAGGTGCTTTCAAGAATAGGTTGATGCCCTCTTCTTTGTGGCCGTCTTTCAAATATTCTAACACTGCCTATCATGTCACCCCTAGTCCTTCTCTTCTCTAGACTAGACATACACAATTCTTGCGACCGTTCTTCATACGCTTTAGCCTTCAATCCCCTGATCATCTTTGTTGCTCTTCTGTGCGCTCTTTCTAGAATCTCAAAATCTTTTTTATATCATGGCACACAAAACTGGATGCAATATTTCAAGCGTGGTCTTACCAAGGAATTATAAAGTGGGCATTAACACTTCACATGATCTTGAATGCAGTCTAGGACAGTGATGATTTTTTTGGTGAACTGCAGTGCAAACTTTATGGTGTAGCCAGGAGACTGATTTAGGTTTTCCCAAGTGTTCAGTGAAGGTGAATGACAAAGCTAATAGAGGGCCAGCAAAGATCGGACCTGATCTGGTTCCTGAATTGCTAAGATGCACATTAAGATAATCTTCATAAGTAGATACCCAGTCAATAGTTAAAGGAGCAAACATCTTGAAGGACAGTATCCTAACTGAGGAGGATTTTCAGAGGGTGGGAAAATGGGCAGAAATCAGCAAGATGAATTTTAACAGGGACAAAATCCCACATTTGGGTAAGAAAAAAAAATCAAAGTCACAAGTATAGGAAGGAGGTGGAAATTCTATTGGAAGCAATATATATGAAAAGGATTTGCATTTCTTGGCAGATCACAAGCTGAACAGGGGCCAAAAGAGATATAGTCACGCATACAATTCTAACCCAGACAGGGTAGAATTGTTCAGTATTATTTCAGAACAAGAAGCAATGTTGTTGTTGTTTTTTGTTGTTTTTTTGCAAAGAAGCAGGTCTAGCTGGATATAAGAGAAAAAAAAAAGATTCCTAATGGTAAGAAATGGAATTTCTTGGGAGATGGTGGACTCTCCCTTGCTTGAGGTGCTTGAACAGAGGTGAGGTTGGATGGCATCTGTCATGGATGTGAAAATGGATTTCTGCACTGGGCAGGTTTTGAATTAGATGAATTTTTTAAGATCTCTCCAACCCAACATTCCATGATCCTATAATTCTTATTTAGTTGGAAAGAAACTAAGCAGCCTACAGCTTTAAAAGATAAATGCTGTATCTCCCTTTTGTACTTGATAAATATTTGCTTAACCTAAAACAGCATGAACTTTTTTTCCCCCTTGCCCCAGAAAATGAAAATGAAACTGTGTTCTCCTGAGCAGATATTTTAAAGCTACAAATCTCTTCCTTTTTTCTTAACAGGCTTTTAGAAGTTTCTGATTCTTGAACCGTGAACACAAACCAGAGAGCTGAACTGGACCATTACAGCATCGAATCAGAGGATGGAAAAGTTTCGCCCAGTACTGGATTTCATTGTCAATCACCAGAAGGTCTTGGGCTATGGGGTAGTGTCTCTGCTGACTGCAGGTAGCGAGCGTATCTTTTCTGTGGTGGTGTTCAAATGCCCGTGCAACTCCTGGAATACGCTTTATGGTGGTATATTTCTGCTGATGCCAGCCTTTATTCTGTTTCTGCTGGGCTTGCTCCTGAGTGTACGTTCTTGGAAGGTGCTCACTGGATGTTGCTCCAAAGGCAGGCCATGTAGATGTCCTCGTGGGAATCGCCTCCAGCGCCACTTACAAGTGATGGGACTTGCAATACTCAGTGCTGCCGTGGCTCCTCTCACATGGGTTTCTGTGGCCTTACTGGGAGGAAGTTTCTATGAATGTACTGCTACTGGGAGCCCCATCCTACAGAAATATGTGTGCAAAGGCAGAAGGGAAGAGGAATGCTTGAAAATTCTGGTTAAAGTGCCTTGTCTCAGCCCTGTCTCTCCTTCTTCTGAACTGGAGATACAAGCAACCCTTCGAGCTCAATCACAGGTTAGTATATAGCTTTTTCCAAGTTGTGTAACAGCCGGATTTCTCAACTTAGAATTCCAGGGGTGCTAACTGGAGTATTGAAACAGCACCAGGAACTTTTCTACCAGTTGTTCTGGTAATAGTGGTCAAGTATCTCCATTCTTAAAGACATAGCATTACCTTCCTGGCAGCCTGTTTCATGGGTTTTAGGTACCACGTTAGGAGCTTTATGTTTGTTTCAGTTCAAATGTTTGTTTTGTCCCATCAGTCAACATAATTAATAGTAAACTAGAGATAACATGGTTTTGCCAGTCGCTTCCAGCTAGGGAAGCTTTTTATGTAAGAAAATGAGAAAAGTTGTATCTTTTCCTACTCGCAGAGAAATTGATTGCAATTAGGAGGGGAATTCCTCATTACCATCAGAGGGAATTTCCTCCCATTATGAATTAGAGGGATTTTCCTCTGGCATGCAACTAATAGGGCTATGTGGCAATTTGGATTTGAAGGAGAAAAGGTGATTTGGAGTTCATTCAGGCACATAGGTACCCTCTGTCCTTATACTAAACATCTTGGGGTCTTCTGGTAGCTCCAGATGGTGGCTGTGTAAGCTTTGGAAAGAATGCAGCTGTTTTAAGGATATGCTAATAGCTGCTGTTGAGAATTCCCTGATTCATTCTGAAATCATTTTTCCCCTTCAAATCCAGATCACCCTATAAAGCCTTAACAATAAGACATGAAAAGCTATATTATATTTCCATACCTGCTCAGATCCCCTAATAATTCGCCTTATCCCTCAAGTTGTATTGAGAGGCCTCATCTTTACTTTACACCTTTACTTTAAATAAAGGTGGGGGTTTTGCTATAGCTATCATATAACTAGGGCTCAAAAATCTAGAGAAATGAGTGTTGATGTTTTGCTTCAGCAGCTCCTGGGTTGAACAGGAAGAGTTAAGTATCAGCAGTGAAGAAGAAATGCTTTAATCTTTCTTCCTACGTGTGAGGGCTTTGAATTCTAGATTGTAAATACCAATGCAGATCAGCTACAATATACACCCAGAATGTAAGATGGCATTTAATCTTGAGGTGCCTTGGTTGCAAGCAAGGTTATTATTTTTAATGCTTCTCCTAAAGGTGTTTGGATGGATTTTGATTGCCAGCGTCTTCACAGTGGCCCTTCTTACCACCTGCATTGCTCGCTGCCGTTCTCCAGTCAGCGTTCTTCAGCTTGCATTCTGGAAAGTCTACCTGCAGAAGGAGCAAGAACTTTTTGAAACCATGGCCAAAGAACACGCATCAAAGTTAGCAGAGAGGAATCTTAAAAGTTTCTTTGATTCCACGGAGCTGGGACCATTTCATACCCCAAGTGCCAAAGCCTGGGATAACATTTCCTCCTTGTTTGCCTTTAATCCTAAAGACAATTGCTACAGTATGATACATAAATATGTCAGTCAAAAATCTCAAAGTGGCAGCATTAAGTCTGCTGAAGGAGATATATACCCCAGTTGTTTGCAATTTGTAGATGGTGCAAATGTTGAAGTCCAAATTTTGTAACAACTGTAACCTGAGAAAATGGCTCAAACAAGAGCCTTCCTAGCCTCATGAAGGGGGAAGGGGGAAATCTATTTGCTTGTAAGATTTTGTTATTCGAACCTTCTAATAAAAGTAGCATTAGCTTCTAACAAAAGTAGTATTTAGCTTTCATAATTTTGGTTTCCCAGTCTTGGAGGGCCGACAAGTGTCCCAGTCTTGAAGGGCCGACAAGTATCAAGGCTTGTTAATAGCTACATTATGCATTATTTCATTACTTCATTATATGGAGCGTTCATGATTCTTGTGCCCCCCCCCCCCATGTGCTGTTCATGATTCCTGTTGTCAAGTTTTCATTTAATAAGTAAAATGTCTGCTCTATCATGAATTTTGTCCCATGTCTTTTCTTCTCCAAATATAATTTTTATTAAGAATTTTAATTACAATAGTAAAAAGTGAATACAAACTAAACTTAGAGAAAGAGAAGACAATGGAAAGAAGAAAAACATGCAGGAAAAAGAGAAGAAAGGAAAAAGAAGTATATAATATTGAAAAAGAAAAGAAATGTATGAGGAAGTGACTTTCAGCCTTCATTGCAAGTGTAAACAAATACAATGAATTTTTACCCTCCATGAGAGAGACGGAGGGGGGAGGGAGGGAGGGAGGGAGGGAGAGAGAGGGGGGGAGAGACTTATTTACTTCTTAATCTTTAATGCAATCAAATACTGTGGTAGGATTTGATTTCTCTTCAATTCTTCTATACTCAATGGCATAGATTTCTTCAAGCCTCTTTTGTGTATTCAATAAGAAAACATTTTCCAAGTCATAGGTCAAGAGGAAAGGAAATCCCCAAGTGCATTAGGCAGGGATCAAGGTTGTCTCCAAAGCAAAATTAAGATCTCAGCCAGTGCCATGCTTCAGGTTTTCCAAAATCTTGCTGGTCAGGTAGAATAGGAAAAAAATTGAGTTGACATCTTAATGTGGATTATGTTGAAAATATTAGGAGTTAAGTATCTAATAAAGCAAATAATTTTACTGATTTTTAATTGAACTTGATGTGCATAATTGTGGTTTAAGATGAATATTTCTCCCACATTTTTAAAGTAGGATTCTCGACATGAAGTATGTATCAAGCCAGTTAAAAGAGTAGTGTGGCAAATGAATTTAGAATTGCAGTTGATACTTCTTAACAAGTAAGGCCTTTAAAATTGCTGTGTAACTTATCAGTAATATTAAAAGTAGGGATAGTTAAATACAGTAGGGGGAAAAAAATCTCTTTTACTTTCACTTATACTTTCATCACCATGCTCAAGAGAGTATTAAATGAGTTCTCTTAATGTCTTAATTCTCTATGTAAAGCAAGGATTTTCTCATCTTTTCTTATTAAAACATGCCATCTAGCTCAAAAGGAATTCTTTATTTCAAATATTTTTGTTCCTAGGATACTTCCACTCCCGAACCACTGCATTTCTCAAGGATGATGATTTAGCTTTATTAATGTTTAGTGCAGATTCCTGAATTTGTGGAAATGAAATGATGAAAAAGGTGAATCTGAATTGAAGTTCTGGGTTCATCGCACCATAAAGCTTGAGAACTTCCCTGTCTTATTAGTGTTACTGCAATTTGTTGTGTGTTTTTTTTTAATCTTTGTTGAAATATGGCAGCTTTTTGAAGAGGTGTTCAGATGTTCTGATTATTAATGACATTGATGTTTATAATTTCAAAGGGCTAACATCATGCTTGTTACAGCCATTTGTTGCTTGATTTAGCCAACACTATCGGAACTTGATGCCGCTGTATATTCCCTAATTTCTCAAGTCTGAAGTCTTCCAGAATCAAAATAATACAAACATTAAAGTTTTAGGAAAGGTCTGAATCAGTGGTGGGATTCAAATTGTTTTACTTCCGGTTCTGTGGACATGGCTTGGTGGGCGTGGTGTGGCTTGGTGGGCGTGGCAGGGGAAGGATACTGTAAGAGTGGGAAGAGTCTTTTATTCACATGGATAAAGAAAAAAACAACAACAAATGGTTGTCTGTGACAACTGGCCACTCCCAAGCCCCTACTATTTATTTCCCAGCCAGGGAGGGGCTGGCTAGCATGCATGCTTGCTTTTCCTTGAGAGCCGGCTTATTGCTTTTCTTTGCTCTCCTTTCCTTCCCTCTCTGCACATACACACATCTGGGATGGGCCACATCTCTTCCTCCCCCTCACTCAGCTCAGGCCCTGAAGACAGCTGCCTCTCCACCTGGGGGAGGACAGAAGGCCCCAGCTCTGCCTCTGCTGCTGTTTCCTTATCAGAGCTTTCCAAAGGCTCTGAAGCCGGCCCAGGATCTCCCTCCACCTCCTCGTCTGACTCTGCAGCTAGCTCAGCTGGCAACTGATGGGCTACAACAATTCTTTGCTTCAGACAAAAGCCCAGATACCTGTAGGACTGCAGAAAACCAGGCTGTTTTATTATCCCATCCACTTCATTGTTATAGGGGTATAAGTTAATTGAAAGGTCACTTTGCTTCCTTTTTACTATAATGGAATCAAAACAACCCAAACCATCAGGGGATAATTTTGGTAGTTGCATTTTATAAATCTGCTTGTGCTGCTGCTGTTGAAATAAGGCAACAAGGAGAGTACCAGCCTAACTAAAATCTCTCAGCCACCCTTTCTTTTCCCCCTTTTCTGTTTTCCAGTCTAAAATCACCCCCCCACACACACTGGTTATCAATTTGTGCATATTTCACTTATCAGTATTCTTTTAAATAAACCTTTGGTTCAAGAGGCATTTTGGTATGACAACTTGCATATTTAAATATACCTTTCAGTAAACTATGCATCTAGAACTTAGACAATAAATATTAACAATTTAGACAATAAATATTAATAAAAATTATTAAGAAGCTGCAAATTGGACTGGTTTGCACTAAAATGTAAATTAAATGACTTTTTCCCAACCCTATTTTTATCAGATGAATATCCCAAGAATATAGAAAGCATAGATGCAAGAATTGAAATTTTTCTTAAGCATATTTTAGATTTCAAGTTAAAATTGCTAGAAAAAAGGTCCACACTACTTGTGAAATTCATCGGTGGACCAGCAACAGAACTTCTCAGGAATAGTCCCCATTTTGTGCAATATCTTACCTGTGGAAATTTAGGTAGGTCCAACTATGTTCCAGCCTGTGGTGCTATTTAAGTGACCATAATATCTTAAATATCATCAATTGTTGCATTTATTTTGTTGTACTTTTACATTTGTAAACTGCTCAGAACTCATATGGATTAAAAAGGCTTTATAAATTTTGTTAAATAAATGAATAAAGAAGGCAATTGTATCCATCCATCCATATATTGCAAATCAGGATTCTTGGAAATTGAACTTTCCAAGGTTTTTTTTTTAAAAAAATAATAATACCTAGTTTTCAAAAACCTAGAATTTTTGCTCTGGAAGTCTTTAGATGGATTACTTCTCAGAAGCCATGTTTCTGTTAAAGTTGCAAAATGAAAGCTACATTTCTTAGCCAAGTCTTGATCCTCCTTTTGCTCATTAAATGCTATGTCAGAAGACGACTTTGGTCAACCTCTATCATAAATGAAGGCAAAAATATATTTTACATTCTGATATAATTTCATGCACAATTTGGTTCAGATAATATATTTATATATCTCATTCACCCTTTTCATTGCAAGGAGCTGTAACAAACATGGAAAGGTTTGGTGGTTGCATTACTACATTTCATGGAATTATCTGGCCTGAGAAAGTTCCCTCAGGCAATTCCTCAGGAGAATTATCACTCTTAAGAGTCCTAAGAAAACCTTGTTCTTCACAGCACTGAAATTTACCTCACTGAAACAGATGTAGCACAGCTCCAATATGAAGCAGCATGCAAGGATATTTTTCAGGGAGCAGAGATTTTATGGATATTCACCATCCAGTTCCTGGCAATAAATACATTTTGGAGCATTACACATTTCCTTGCGGGGATTGTATGCTAATTTCTTGTTCCTCCAACAAGCTTGTGGGCATGCATGGCCTGGACTAGAAAAACTGTTTATTTTTAGTCATGTTCTGGGTGTATTGGAAGGTTACCCTTTGTAGGCAGCTACAAAGGCTTGGATGACCCTATAATTATTTCAGACAACAGTTTCATTTATTTCTCTTGTATTTTTTGGTTTCAGCCTTCTTCAAGAATGTGATTCGGATTTCTGTCACATCATCTCCTTTCAGAGTGTCTTGAAGGAAAATCACTTCAGCTGCTAGGTGTATCTGAAAATAAAAAATTAAATTGATGTTACAGGGACAAAGGTCGCCAATGGTAGGAAAACCATACAATAATGGGGTGTTTTATTCATTTCTTAAATATATATTCTGAGAATCCATCAAATAAGGCTTGGAAAAATAATAAAGACTTTACCTGGTCCTAAAAACATGGGAGCAGGTCAAAATGTGATATACACACACACGCACACACGCACACACGCACACACACACACACACATATACTATTGTACTTACTGGTTTTACCTTCACCTTCCCATTTTTTAGGGCACCATTTCTACACCACCTATATGAGATCCAGTTGCAGATATGGTACATTTGGCTCATATATAGAAATCGAAGGTCAATGACACTATGAGATAGATTCATTCATTCATTCATTCTTTCTTTCTTTCATTCATTCATTCATTCATTCATCATATTTATATAGCCACCTATCCAGTGGTGGGCTGCAACCTGTTTAACAACCGGTTCGGTGAGCTTCGTGCATGTGCGCAGCATTCAAAAACCACCTATTTTAGCCTCTAAAACTTACCTTCTCAGGCACCGCCAGTGAGTAAAACAGCTGAGGTGTGGCAATCCACTGTGCCACATGAATCAGCTGAGATGAAAAACATGGAAATATAGGACAGGATAGGGCGGAGGCGAGTGGGCAGGGCCAGCTGATAGCTGGAACCACCAGTTTGCTAGAACCAGTCCGAACTGACAGCAGTCCACTATTGCACCTGTCTCACAATCAAGTGACTCTGAGAACACAAATATAGTGGCTGGGGAAAATCAGAAGGTGTCTTTTGTTCATTTGTTTTGTGCCTTCAAGTCAGCGTTGACTCCAGGCAATTGCCTAGACAAGTCCCTGCAGTTTTCTTGGCAAGATTTCAGAAGAAGTTTGTTGCTGCCTTCTTCATAAGATAGAAAGACTAACTGGCTGTGTCCAGTTGAGAGTAAAACTTAAAGTCTCCCTGTTCTACCTTAACCCTTAACGCTAAACTGACTCTCAAAAGGTAGAATACCAGACACAAAGCCCACACGCAGAAAAGATTTGTACAGAAGGTCTTTGAAAAGCACGATTTAAGCCTAGAAGGACAATCAGCCTCATCTAGTCTGTTTCCTCAATGTCAAATTTACAAAGGGCTAATAGCATCTGTAGGAAAATTTGATTGGATTTGCACAGGACACCATGACACTTAATGCATTTTATTTGTTTGAGTTTTATGGTTTCAGTGAACCTTGACAAGTTTTGATTTATCTAATAAATCATGAATAACAACTCATGGCTAAAGACATTTAAGTACCACAGTGGTTAAGGCATAAGGTCAGAAGCTGGAAGACTCTGAGTCTTAGAAGCAAAATCAGACAGTCACTCACTCACTCTCAGCTCTAGGAGGAAAGCGATGGCAAACCACTTCTGAAGATCTTGCCAAGAAAACTATAAGGTCTAATCCAAGCAGTCACCAGAAATCAACAGTGACTTAAAAGCACACACACACACAAATGTGCACCAGCTAAGGATTATGTGGCCAGGTTTGTACTATATACTAAACAACAAGCCATGGTTACAAACCATAATAAATGAATTTATACAATAGCATGATCCAAAATTACTGTTCAGTATAATCACACAATCAAGGCAGATCACGTGCCCTCAGAAGGAACGGGGGAGGGGGGGTGACAACAAAAGCCTTGCAATGTCACAATGCACACTCCACCTTTTATATAGCTGTTACAGTGCACGAACCAAATACTGGAGGTTGTGTCATGAGGTCATGCATATTATATTGTCACTAGGGCAGCATCATGGTTAGGAACAAACAAGTATGAGGCTGTTCTGTATACTGGGGGAGGGGGCAGAAAAGGGCAGAGTAGGAAGAGCCAGTATCCATTTTCTTACCATTTCCAGAGCACCTCGGATGGTCCCAGACAACAGGCTGCAATAGCAAAGAGATGACCGACTTGCGGGTAGCTCCTCCACAAAGTCCACTAAGGGATTTTTGGCCAGAATGAGAGAAAACTCATTTCCCATTGCATTGTTGCAAGTCACAGTAGGAGTGACACCCAGATACATCTTAAAAGCAACCTGACAATGGAATGAAACATGTCATCACTGGGTTAAACCATAAATTATCTTAAATAAATTTGGACATTTCGTCTATTTATTACAGGTATGAACCATGATTTTCAATCAAAGACTGGGATTGGGAACTACTGAATGCCAAGAGGGTTAATGTTTGCAGCCTCCTCGGCATGAAGTTGACAACACTTTGCAATAATTTTAGGGATGAGGCTGAGGAGTGAGAATTCACACTGAGGCCAATGGGGGCTCTCCTTCTCTGAAGCTCACTGTAGAGTAGCACGTGTATGTGATTATGAGGATTTCAGCTGGAAAGGAACTAATTCACAATCTGAATGAAAACAACTCCCCTGGTTATTGCGTAAAAAGAAAGAAAGAAACCCAGGCACACTTATTGGCTAAGTCTGTTTAAAGTCATGCTTCTTTCTGGAGTTCTGCACAAAACAGAAAATATGTTTTGTTTTAGTTCTCAAACCCAAACATCCCATCTGGACAGTTCCGTGGAAACTGTTTGAGTTTGTTGCACTTTGACAAGAACAAAACCTAAACCAGTTTAAACCTCCTGGAGATCTTAATTTTATTAGATGGTCTCAAAGTATTAATTTCTAAAGCAACGATCTCTCTTAAGACAGCAGAAGATTGTGCGAGAAAATAAATTCTTGTCAGTTCATTAGCACAAAGGGAGTTTCTTTCAGAAATGTTTTAATGTAATGTCTTTTTAATCTAAGTTAAACTTGAGTGCCCAAGAAAGTGTAACAGGAGTGATGCATTAAGTTTTATATGATTATTATATGACCTATCCTTTTTCAGGTTGATTAAAAATGGTCAGCAGTATGGATTAATCTTAATCTCAAATTCCTATTTAACCAATACTTGATCATGGAAAGTACCATTCTTTTTTCAATC